AAAAAATTATGAATGTGATGACCTTAAGTATGTCTAAGATGCAGGCAACATGAATTAGTATTATCTCCTCGTGTTTTATCTGCTTGCTCCTACATGTGGAGGAAATTCCTTCAGAAGATCTAATCGTTTGCATCAAGATGTTAAATCCCTAAATATGCCCCAATATTCAATGTTAAATCTCCAAAGATGCCTCAATATTTGATGTTGAATCTTCAAAGATTCCCTCTATTGCTTCAGCGCTGATTCTAAACATGAGCTTTGTGTCTGAAAACCACATGTCAAACACCAAGATCCATTGTAGAGAGATTGTCTTGTTTGAAAAGTGTTTTTTTCTTATTCGTCTTTTATTTTCAAAAGTTCTGAAAATATCAATTAGAAGAATTTTGAAAAATGTTTAATCAAAAGTTTTAAAAATATTGCCCCTTACTCGGTTTCATAATTGAGACAAATCATAAAACTAGAGTTCATTGGACATCAAATAATTAATTACATTGTTAATCCTTTAATAAATTATAGCTATTTGACAAGTATCAAGATCAAAGCTATCTTTGGGAAATGTTTAAGAAATGAAATAATAAGAAAGTCTCAGGTTATTGTGTTTAGTCAATGGTTTAGCCTTCTTATTTCTTTGATGTTCACTGATCTGATGGGGTAGCTTGTATGCTCATTTATTGGACGTGTTCGCCGGCTCCCAGCTCTTATGGTCACGCATTGTGCAATGTCTTATCAAGGAATTTGTGCGACCGCCTCAGCTGCACAATTTTTACAATCGAGCTGTCTTTTCAGGTTTTCAACTCGAATCCTCATTTGGTTTCAATATGTCACTCAAAATTTACGACTTGAAGCCCCCTTTGTTAATTTTCTCTATCATGCATTAAAGATTTTAAAAAACCTTTTGCAAATTAAGATTAATCCTGATGGGCGGAAAGAAATCTGAAGATAGACTCTTCTGTTTAGAAATCCATGTATGATTAGAAGGGACTTTTTAAGGTACGTAATGTAGGTCATGGTTCATGGTTATGAAAGAAAAGGATAAATAGACTCAAACAAGTTTTTCAAGGTATTGAACCAATGATCAATTCATTCTGATGCTTTCAATCCCGTCTTACTTAATTTGAATATGCACGTATGTGTCTCTCTCGATGCTCTGTAGTTTTTGAGTGAAGTGATTTTGGAATTATTGTGCTTGATCAATCTCATAGTTTTATGCTCGATGTGTCATTTGAGTCGATTATTGTCCCTTTTTCTTTGCTTTTTCTTTTTCTTTTTTTCTTTTTTTAATTGGATCTTCACACTTGGCACTTAATTCACCATTTGATATCTCCTCTGGATTGATGTCTTCACTCATGTGAGCAGATTTCTTCCACCTTGCCTCCCAGTGTGGAGGGTGATCATTGGTTAGGGTTGAATCAGAAAAAAGAAAAAATAATATAGGCTCAAAATGGGACAACAACGGATATATATATATATATATATATATATATATATATATATATACATATATATACATATATGGATAAATGAAACAAAGTCGTTCATCATCTCATACACAAAAGTCTTCGCAAAAGAGGTATCCCCAGGGGGATAGATTTTCAAGATTAATTTTATTCACATGAAAAAATGTAATTAATGCATGATAGAATTATTTCGAATTAATTCTCCTTTCTGCTTCTTATTCCCAGCATGCCTCAATTGTACAAGCTCGTCTTCAGAAAATTGATATGAGATGCCCCAAGTTGTGTCTTCTGGTACGAAGGTTCACGTTCAAGTGAACATCTTGTACTCGATGCCTTAGGTTTTATTGGTAAAAAATGTTGGTTTACGTCTAAAAGGACGATGGTGTGACTTTATTGACTCAAAGGTATCGGTATGACTCTCCATGGATTATTCAGGGTAAAGAACCGAGAGATTTTTTTAACAGGATAAGAAAGGTCTGCTCTTGCCATATGTCAAAAATCTATAATTCTTGAAGAATTAAAAGAATATTTAATTCATTTAATATTCAAAGAACTAAAGATTAAAATTTGCAATTATTAAATCTTAGAAGGTAGCATAAATTCAATCGTTTAAAGGATTAAGCAAACATGAAAGATCAAAACGCGTTCAAACAAAACAATGCTCTCAGTGTAAATGGTAGATGCAATACCCCCTTTTTCGATTGTTCATGCTCCTGAATCCATCAAGTTTTGAATATTGCGCTTCAGTGCCTTACAGTTCTTAAAACAATGTCTGGAGCTTCCTATGTGGTAATTGTTAAAATATTTCTTCCATGTGGTGTCACGTGATTAATAACACTGCATCTAATCCTCTATGAAGAGATTTCATGTTTATGAAAATGCTTAAAATGAAATGTAGATGCAAAAATGCATGAAATGCTCGAGGCATTGATCTGAAAACATGCTTGTTATTATAAACAATCCTTATTGGGAACAAAAGTGTTTTATCTTTTAAGAGAAAAAAATATCCTGATAGCTTCTGACATGTTGACTAGTCTTCTATCTTTTTCTATCACCGGTTGAATAATCTGTTGAACCGCTCCGGCTTCTCTAGATGAACCGTGCAAATGTTGAGTTGCTTTTGTACTGGTCCAAGAAGTCTCGAATGACTACATCTCTGGCATTTGTCTTTTGTTGAACATGTTCCCAACGAATACGTCATTGGAGCCCTCAATTGATAGGACTTATGTGAAGTTCATTTGTCTATTTCTTGAATTCGTCAGCAATGGTCTCCAATTTCAGCTATCGTTTTGCCATTGTTGTCTTTGAAATGACTCCCAAGATCAGTAACCTTCATCTTGCTCCTGTAACTTCTGCCAGTCAGTTCTTCAAAGATAGACTTTCATTGTGCTTGATGTAGACTCGTTTCATTCTGAGTCTTTCATAATGCAGCAGAGTGATATACTCTTCAATTGTGGGCATCACATCCTCTGGATTGAATGTGGCACATAGTCGCCTTGTAGATTGTCCTCTGCATTTTCATCTCTTGTATTACAACCCCTTTGTTCATTAATGCAAATTATTTACATTTAACGAACATGTTTTTGTGGACCAACACCTCTTTTGCAGATCAACACCTCTTTTGCAGATCCGTCCGGCCACCGTACCGGCTGCCGTGTATGGTGGTCGGAAATTCCCAAATAGTCCCAAAAGTTTCCAAAACCTTTATCTAGCCTAGATCTACCCCTTATGAACGATTTTGAAGCTAGAAAATCAAGAAAAACACTCGAAAATTACCCCAAATACACCTTGACTATTCGGCTCGTCCTTACTCCGGCCACCGTGGAAAATAAAACTACATTATCTAGGTAAAATCCTTACTCTCTTCTTCCTCTTCTAATAATTTTTAACATGCATAAAAACATTATTTATTTTTTTCGATTTTTTTGCTTATTTTCGAAATAAATAAAAACTTGTGTTTCAAATACCCACAAAAATAACACAACAAATATACCTGTAAAATTACTTATTATTTCTGGAAAAAAAAAGAGAAGAACCCCTCTTTTCTTACATTTTCATTCGGCTATTTATAGCACTTATTTTACATAACTTTACATAAAAAAAATAGCAACTTGGTGTGACCATGCTTTAGATCAGATCTCACATGCATTTTTATCCTTGTGAGTTGGCAGGAAACATGCATTAGTGGAAGCTTGGTGTAATGCTGGGATGAGGACAAAATCTGGGTCTACAGGGTTAAATAAGAAGAAGATGTTGTGTTGAAAAAGAAGAATAGTCGGTCAAAATGATCTAATATGGTCAAATGAGATTTCAACAGTTCGGTGGTTATGGTTTCTTCTTGTTTTCAATTACTAACTCTCAGAACCCTACTTCTAGTGAAAAAAGTACTCAACCAACATGGGGAATACGCATGGTATGGGAGCTGGGCGCAAGCTAAGGACCCACCGCAGGAGGAGAGGTGGGCTGATAAGGCATACAAAAAATCCAACCTTGGAAATGAGTGGAAGGAGCCATTTGCAGGTTCTTCCCATGTCAAAGGCATTGTCCTTGAGAATATTAGTATTGAAGCTAAGCAACCAAACTCTTCCGTCCGAAAGTGTGTTAGAGTTCAACTGATCAAGAACGGAAAGAAAATTGTCGCATTCGTTTTGAATGATGGTTGCTTAAACTACATTGAAGAGAATGATGAGATGTTGATTTCCGGATTTGGACGAAAGGTCATGCAATGGGTGATATCTCCGGTGTTAGGTTGAAGGTCATGAAGGTCTCGGGTGTTTCGCTCTTGGCACTCTTCAAAGAGAATAAAGAGAAGCCTAGATCTAAAGATAGTAACTTGGAGGATCTAATTATGATGTTGTGATAGTTTTACAAAAAAAAAAAATTGAGAGCAATGTTTTGCTTATAATCTTTTTGGTTTTTAGACGGGTTATTGTATTGAATTTTTCCTATTAAAAAAAAGAGAGATTTCAACAATTTTTCACTATGGCGGTCAACTATTCAAATAAGTAGATAACATTCCGATAAGTAGATATTAGTCTAGTTAATGGCTAGGGTTGTTAATGATGGTTTACGACAAATGATCAATTTATAATAAACGATAATGTTAGTGATTGATTTGTGATTTTTAAAACATCAATAATAGAATAAAAATTTGTTCAAACATTAGTGATCATTTGTATAATTTATCTTTTAGTAATTTACTTGGTTTTGTAATTTTAAATTTTTTGGATTGAGTTTATATTTTGAATTTATTTGGATTGAATTTTAGAGAGGTATATTTAAACATTGGGTTAGCTTTTTTTATCCATCACTGTTCTTCGATCATTGCATATTGTCCCACCATATAGAAGATGATCGGAAAACATAGAATGCAGGAAACCAGAGAAAATTTCTCAATAATGCATTCGATCGAAAATTAAATCTAAAATTGTTTCACAATCATAACGTAATAAGAAATCTGACTAAAAATATATAGAAAATCACGAAGGGTTTAAAAATTGAAAAGATTTAAGTTTTGCCGTCATATTTTCATGGGTACACGAAGAGTATGAACCCAAACAAACCCACTTAATTGCACTCCAATTTACAACACAAGCGCCAAATTAACCAACACTTCCCCTCATTTCTTTCCTCTCCTCGCCGTGGCTTTCTTCGCCGGTGACTTGACGCTCTTTGGCTTTACACTCTTCGCCGGAGCTTTTTTAGGTGTGGCAGCCTTCTTCGGAGCAGCCGCCCTCTTCCCTGGAGACGTCCTTGTTGAAGTCCTAGCAGATTTGACCGGCTTCTCCGCAGGCTTGGCCTTAGCCTTGGTCGTAGCTTTTGGCTTGGTAGATGCGGTTGTCTTTGGCTTCGCGGCAGCCCCAGCCTTTGTCTTTGAGGTAGTAGACTTAGCCTTGGTGGAAGGCTTTGGTTTAGCAACCACTTTTAGCTTCGGTTTAGAAACAGATTTTGTCTTCGCCGGAGCTTTAGAAGCAGGTTTAGCACTCTTCCCGGACTTGGCAGCAGGTTTATCTTTCGCCTTAGTCGCGAGCAGCTTCCTCTTCGCCGGCGCAGAAGCAGTTATCTTTGCCGAAGGAAGCTTAAATGAACCCTTAACCTTAACTAATTTCCCAGCAGCTACAAGCTTCTTCAAATGGAAGAGCAAAAGCTTCTTAAAATTTCCAGGAAGATTCTTCTGCTTCTCTTCAATGAATTTAGTAATAGCGTACTGACTTGAACCCGTCCTCTCTTTCAAACTAACGATCGCTTCTTTGATCATCTGCATTAAATCGAACCGATCAGATCCTAAAACACCAAGCAGAACAAAGACAAACAAACACTAAACGAAGCTTTCGAAAATCGAATTATGAAAATACCTCTTCGTAAGTAGCATGAGCACGAGGAGCTCGTGGCTTCTTAGAAGCTGGTGCTTTCTTAGCTTTAGGTTCTTTGGCTTTCTTCGCCTTGCCCGGCTTCGAACCGGCCTTGGTCTCAGCCGGTTTATCTTCCGCCGGTTCGGTGGCGACCCCAACCACGACAGTTGTTTCTTCTTCAGTGGCCATTGCAGCGAAAAGGATGTGTAATTAGGGTTTCGGTAATTGTGAAATTTAATTGGATCTAATTGCAGTGAACCTGTAATTCCGTGGTGCGAGGAAGGTAACGGAAATGAAGGGATTTAAATAGTTAGTTTTGGGAGAGACGGTATCCGTATGATGAATATGATTGGTTGAGACAACTACCACACGGATCACCGTCTTTTGTAAAATTTAAATAAAAACCGTTGGATAATGCCTTTATCTACGGTTGAAGAAATGAGCAATTGAAGGAAATGGGGAAGAAATGATAAAATGAGTAGTTGAAGTGTGTTTTTGGTCTCGATTGATTTCAGAATAACTTGAGCTATAGTTGATGAAATTTTGTAAGGTTTTTTCCACTATGTAGGTTATTCTGTAAGCTTTCTAATGAATATTTCCGTGAATATTTTTAACTATTATTTAAAATAAAAATTGATTCCAAAACTGAATTGGTCCAAACGAGACTTTATATCGATACTATTGTAGTTTTAGAGATTTTTAAAACAATGTTGAATATTAATCTTAATTTTTTTTCACCACATTTGATAGTAGAATAACACAGGAATATAATGCTTCAATTTTTTTGAAAATCAAATAAGAATTTGAGGGGAAAATATTGCTTCAAATGATGTTGAAGTTGAACATGTCCTATTGTTAATGTGTTACAACATACAACGCATGTAACAGTGGCGGATTCAGAAATTTAAAAATGGGGTCCAAAATAAATATTATAATATTCATTAATAAAAAAAAGCTACATAATCCACAATCCAAAATAACAATTCATTCAAAAAGTACAAAAAATTACTATTACTAAAAACAATTGTTCTCGATGAGCTTTCATTCCTTGAAATCGTTTCATGATTACTTCATCGTCGATTTGGAGAAAAGCATCTCTTTCTATATAAGTAACCAAACAATCATTTAAAAATTGGTCACCTATGCTATTTTGCAACCTATTCTTCTCGATGTTCATTTTATAAAAGAGAAAATAACCTCAGTGACCGAAAATGCCTTATAATATACTATTTTAATCAACTTTTTTTGGATTTGCCAAAATGACCAACAAAATCGTAACGCGAACTCTAATTTTTCAACTCAGTTTCCAAATTCGCAACGCGAATATCCAGATTCGCAACGCGATTGTAAGATTCGCAACGCGATTTTGAAAAATGTGTTGCGATAGTTAAAATGTGTTGCGAGAGTTTGAAAAACATGTTGTTGCGATAGTGAAAAAGTGTTGCGATAGTGAAAAATCCAAAATAAGTTTACATTTTAACTATTCCAAATTCACGTGGAGTTTGAAACAATAAAGAATGTGTTGCGATAGTGTAAAAGATTCCCAAGTGTTTGCAATGCTCAATCTCACATAGTATTGGAAACACTATTGGGAATGAGTATTTAAGGCTTGGATTTCCCACTTCCTTGTTGAGTGGAAGAGAACAAGGGGGACTCTCGCGCACCGCCACCGCCGCCGTCCCGTCCCGTCCCGTCTCGGGTCTTGGTCGTGGTCGTGGTAATACGTGTCTTCGACACGTTCGCGCGGATATTATCATTTTTAAAAAAATTCTTAAGAAACAAATGCAATCAGGGGCGGACCCACGTGGCCCTATAGGTAGCAAATGCATACCCATTTTCTTTGAAAAGTTATCAATAGTTAATGTATTATATTAGAAGAAAAAAAATTCTGCACACTCATTTTTTGAGTGTTGTGTTGTTTAAGGTGCATGAGAAGTTTGTACTTATTAAAATATTATTTACTTTTAACTTTTTCATCATTCTTTCTTCAATATGCTCAACCGTTTTTTGGGTGTTATGTTGTTTAACGTGAATGAGAAGCTTATAATGATTAAAATATTATTTATTTTTTGCTTTTATATCATCATTTCTTCGCCTTTTTAATTTTTCACTTTTCTTACTTCCAATTCCAAAGCTTCTATTTTGTTTTTCTTCAATAAAAAAATTACACTCTGCCAAGCTTCTGTTTTATTTCTTCACTTTCTCATTTTGCTTTAATCTGAACCAACGTTTCAACGTATTTACCGGTTATTCTCTGGTGAACTTCCTCATCTAAGTTTCCTGCAAGCTGTCGCTCCTCTTTTATTTGTACGTTCTTCACTTATTCTCTTACTCTTTTAAATAAAATTAAATTTAGTTTTTAGTTTTTAATTTTTTTAAATTTATTTTTTTAATTTGAGTGAGTTAAATTAAGAGATTAAATTAAATTTTAGATTCAATTTGATAGATTTTAGTGATTTTGTGAATAATATTTGAATATTGAATTGTGATACATGAAAATGAAATTATGAATATGTATTTTTGAGGATGAGAAAAAATTATATTAAATTTGTGTAATTTAAATTATGAATATTTGTCTAATTAATAATTATTGTCATTTGTAAATTTTGTAATTGTAGTAGTGAGAAGATGAATGATGAAGAGATTAAAGCTCAACGAAAGAAGAAGAATGGAATGTTGGATTGGTTTATTCAAAAGTCTAAAAAGGATTATGCAAGTTATTCCCAAGTGTCAATTTGTGTCTCATCACCAACTCAACCTTCAACAACCCAAGTCGAGCAAGATTTTGCATCAAGGGATATGGAGATCGAGAGCCAAGATGATGCTCGAAATGATGATAATACTCGAAAAGTCGATAATGTGAGTTTTGCAACCGAGTCATTTGATTTCATTTTCATGATTCACTGGGTGAATAGAATATTTGGGATTATGGATGAAACAAAGCTTTGCAGAGAAAAGATCAAGATATCATCAATGCTATGTCTCTTGTCACTTTAACTAAGGAAAAATCTCAAAACATGAAGGAAAAGGAGTGGGAATCTTTTTTGGCTACAACCACTTCCTTTTGTAACGAGAATGCCATTGATATTATTGATATGAATGGTGTGTATACTCCTCTTGAAAGAAAGAAACTTGTCGTTTGGATACTACTAATAATCATCATTTTCGAATTGAAGTATTTTTGGAAGTTATTGATCTTCAACTTCAAGAGTTAAACAATTGAGTTGATGAGGTTAATATAAAGTTTTGACTTGTATGGCTTCTTTGAGTCCACTTGATAAGTTTTATTCGTTTGACAAACAAAATATACTTAAACTTGTTGAATTATATCCCGATGAATTTACAAGTGTTGATAGACTAGGTCTTGATGATCAACTTGATAATTAAAGTGTTGATATGCAGAGGGATGTTAGATTTTGAATATTAAAAGATATGGGTGAACTTTCCATGAAGCTATCGAGACAAAGAAGCATCAAGTATACCAACAAGTATATTTGCTCATAAAATTGGTGTTGATTCTCCCCGTAGCAACCGCAAGTGTGGAAAGAGCATTTTATAAAGAGAAAATAACCTCAGTGACCAAAAATGCCTTATAATATACGATTTTGACCAACTTTTTTTCGATTTGCCAAAATGACCAACAAAATCGCAACGCGATCTCCAGTATCGCAAATCAGTTTCCAGATTCGCAACGTGATTTTGACTATCGCATTGCGATTTTCCAAATTCGCTTTGCAATTTTAGAAAATTGCAATGCGAATATGTAAATCGCAACGCGATTCTGACTATCGCAACGCGATAACACGATCTCCAGTATCGCAAATTAGTTTCCAGATTCGCAACGCGATTTTGACTATCGCAATGCGAATATGTAAATCGCACGAATATGTAAATCGCAACGTGATAATACAAAATCGCAACGCGATTCTGACTATCGCAACGCGATAATACAACGCGATTTTAACTATCACAATGCGAATATGTAAATCGCAATGCGATTCTAACTATCGCAACGTGATAATACAAAATCGCAACGCGATAATACAAAATCGCAACGCGATTCTGACTATCGCAACGACTGGTGGTATTGCATTCAGTGGCGGATCCAGAAATTCAAAAATGGGGGTCCAAAATAAATATTATAATATTCATTAATAAAAAAAAGCTACATAATCCACAATCTAAAATAACAATTCATTCAAAAAGTACAAAAAATTACTATTACTAAAAACAATTGTTCTCGAGGAGCTTTCATTCCTTGAAATCGTTTCATGATTACTTCATCGTCGATTTGGAGAAAAGCATCTCTTTCTATATAAGCAACCAAACAATCATTTAAAAATTGGTCACCTATGTTATTTTGCAACCTATTCTTCTCGATGTTCATTTTATAAAAGAGAAAATAACCTCAGTGACCGAAAATGCCTTATAATATACGATTTTAACCAACTTTTTTTGGATTTACCAAAATGACCAACAAAATCGCAACGCGAACTCTAATTTTTCAACTCAGTTTCCAAATTCGCAACGCGAATATCCAGTTTTGCAATGCGATTGTAAGATTCGCAACGCGATTTTGAAAAATGTGTTGCGAGAGTTTGAAAAACGTGTTGTTGCGATAGTGAAAAATCCAAAATAAGTTTACATTTTAACTATTCCAAATTCACGTGGAGTTTGAAACAATAAAGAATGTGTTGCGATAGTGTAAAAGATTCCCAAGCCATTTGTAAGATCTTAGTTTGAAACAATAAAGAATGTGTTGCGATAGTGTAAAAGATTCCCAAGTGTTTGCAATGCTCAATCCCACATAGTATTAGAAACACTATTGGGAATGAGTATTTAAGGCTTGGATTTCCCACTTCCTTGTTGAGTGGAGGAGAACAAGGGGGACTCTCGCGCACCGCCACCGCCGCCGTCCCGTCCCGTCTCGGGTCGTGGTCGTGGTAATACGTGTCTTCGACACGTCCGCGCGGATATTATCTTTTTAGAGAAAATTCTTAAGAAACAAATGCAATGCCACCAGTCGTTGCGATAGTCAGAATCGCGTTGCGATTTTGTATTATCGCATTGCGATAGTCAGAATCGCGTTGTGATTTTGTATTATCGCATTGCGATAGTCAGAATCGCGTTGCGATTTACATATTCGCATTGCGATAGTCAAAATCGCGTTGTATTATCGCGTTACGATTTCTAGTATCGCAAATCAGTTTCCAGATTTGCAACGCGATTTTGACTATCGCATTGCGATTTTCCAAATTCGCAACGCGAATATG